CACTGTTTGGGAACAGAGTGCTCCCGCCAGTTTGAAACGGTGAGTTGTTTACATTTACTGCGTGGTATATATGGCTTAATAAATATATGGTATTAGGGGCAACATTCAAGTTCGCTGGCACGGCAACAGAGCCTTCCACCCCAATAGCGACAACGGTACACTTGGGGAATTCTACGACGCCCATGCAGTTCTTCATAATAGCGAAACTTTCCTCACTATCCCAAAGCGAATGAAACCCATAAGTCAGCCCGCAATTGGCCTCTCATTTCTTATTGATTACACCGATGTAAGCTTTGTTTTCCTGATTCAGTTTTAACCCTGATGAATTATCTATCTAGTGGGAGAATAAAGAAAATCTCACTGTACCCTTGGAACTAACTAGCTTCAAGCGCACCAACAAACGCTCTCGCCTTGATTCTATCCCAAAGCATGTGCAGCCAGAGACAAAGCGCCATCGTCGTGAGCCCACTCCAATTACTTGCATGGTTTGGAGTGGTACCAATGTGCTTTGATTAGCTGCCGCGCTCACCTCGACGTTCCTGCCGCCTCCGACTATTGCACCTGTCTCCCGCCCGTCGACTCTGGTCACTTTCCAGAATGCCATACTCAGCACCTCCAATGGAGCGACTCAGATAACTCTCAAATGGAGCGACAAAGCTGATTCCGTTACGAGCCGAATTTTCGATAATGCTCTTTCCTTCGGCAAGAACAAGACACTCTTTGAGGTCGAGATCGACGATGTTGTTTTTGTGGCCAAACGGTGCAGGGATCCTGCTCTGGATGCTTCGTCTCTCTTTGCCAACCAAGAGTTTCTCCTGGAGGACTTCGGACGGCTCATGCGGCTCTCAAGTGGGCTCCGAGCATTCTACAAATCTGCTGAAGATTTAGGCGCTATGGATGACGTCGATACGAGTGAGTTCTGCTCAGAGCCTCCTTCAGTCTGACGAGATCTGACCTAACTCTTTCAAGAACTCGCAGTCGGTGTCGCACGCATCGTCCGGGAAGTCGTCTCGGCCGCACAGCCTCCTTCAGTCGCCTCTGGAGTCACTGCAGCTTGTTTCGACAAGATCAACACAGAAACGCTCTCCGAGGATCGCCAAGGCCAAGATCCATCGATCTGCTGGTTACTGCAGGCACGCATCAGTGTGCAGGCAACGGATAACTGGAACCTTCGTCGTTCCCCGATCACCAATGCATTGAGCAAACTCGGTAGCACCATCAATGCTTTCGCACACCATTTCTACCAGCACTGCGATGGACGATTATCAATAGCTCATCTTCAGAGTGAGTTCTCTCGGATTCTCTTTTTCGTCTTCTTACCATGGCTCCCTAGCTTCTGCGGGCACATTTGCCGACGGTACAAAGTACGGGAAGGTGATCTACGATGCTGTGCTCGAGGAAGAGGGCCCCCCCCCCCCTCTTCACATATGCAACCGGATCTGTGGGTTTTTGAATTTGCCAGAGGCAGAAGATGGAGACGATGCAGAGAATGTTTAACACTTTAATTTAACAACGAGATCTTTTCAATTTCAAAAATCTATAACTTTACATTTAATGATGAAGGCATACTAAGTCAGAATCGGTACATATTTATACGAATATCTGTCACTCATTCAACAAGGAGTCCCGCCTGTGTTCCCACCGTGCACGAGCGTGTGTCTGTAGAGCGGGAGGTGTTGCACAGTCGCGTGCATCATCCACGCCGTTCTCGCATGGGATCCTGAGGAAGGGATGGGCGTAGCTGCGGACTGAGGTGGCTGCGGCGGGGTGGGCGACAATCTCGACTTGCGGACTGTGCGGCTTCAGAAGGGGGGTCCGAGCTCAGTAGCATCATTCACAACACCAATCATTTCTGGCGACCTTAGCAACACCAATGTATGTAGGAGAGCAGTACATACTGATGTTGCTGAGGGAGGCCGTTCGTTGTGAGGCCGTTCATTGTACTCCAGGAGGTGCAGAAAGAGTACTCAAGATACCTTGCTTCGGTGCCTACCATGGCAGAATTCAGTATCAACTGAGCTTGGTGCCACCGACGAAACATTAATGCACGAAGATCTCTTAAAATGTTCCTCAGTACAATTCGCCGTAAACATCCTTCCGACGCCTGGAGACCAAAGATGACGCCGTGTGCTTGAATTGATTGCCTACGGGTGCAGATGCACGGCGACGAGCGTTGGACCGGGCTCTCCGACGACTCCTCGATCACGAGAGGCTCTGAGATATGGGCGCTGGTGGCTAGATGTCGACCACTGAGCAGGCGGGAGTAACGGGGAGTGGATGGACTCCAATCAAGCCAAGGTTGTCGTGCCAGAAGTCCTTGCTTGAGTCAGGGAAGGCGAACTCAATGAGATGAACGCGAACGAGAGCCGGCACCCCCCAGCACAGTGATGGGCGGGACAGCGGGAGTGGTGTCGAATCGGTCGGCATTATTAGGCTTCGAGTAGTAGAAGAGGCGGTGATGGATGAAAGAAACACGGATGAGACCGATGCCTGATGCCCGACACCCGATGCCCGACACCTGCCATGTTGGCTAGACGGTGGGCGGGAGGTCGACGGTGTGGCTGGTAGTAGGCGGTGGGCTGTGCTTGCCGGAACAGTCAGAGCCGGGTGGCCGATTGGACAATGGCGCTGTCAAAATGTCAAATTTCATCCGTGGCCATCCCGCCGACGGTAAACTGGCTGCTTATTTAATAACACATCCAGTGGAAATTCTATTCATGTACTGTGGAATCCAATGGAAATCACATCATGTACTGTGGAATCCAACGGAACCTGGGGCGGGATATTGGAATATAAATCATACCTAAATATATTTGGGGTATACAATGGAATACATTGACCATCGGTGGAAAGGAATTGAGGCCCATTGTACTTCAGTGGATGGCAAGGCGCGGACACCGAATTCCAGTGGACGATGTTTGAAGTCCAGTGGAAGTCGGTGGCGCGGACCGGCTTCGCCTAAGGCTCCAACCATTTCCATTTTCAACCGTTTGCGAACGGTTAAAACCGTTTTTATTTCCGTTTCGTTTGCTGGGCTTGACAAACGGTTCCAGAAACGGTTTGCAAATGGTTTGTGCGTTTCAGTTTACGACCACCAAGGGAAGCATTAACCCATCTCCAACAAGCTCCAATGGTGCAAATAAATGATTGCTGCTTGTGATAAATGAGCGCTGGCCTCTCCCTGGCATGCCAGTTTGATTTACTGGCCTGAATATCGGCTATGAGGGTCTTGCTTGCGGCCTGGACAATGTTCCGCCGCATCCAAAATACCTCCTAGTCACTCTGGGGCCTCCGGAATGCCTGCTAGAAAAGTCCTAATAGCCTATCCCTGTCGTATGACACCAGGTACCCTGAATATAACCAGGATGATGCACCCGCTCAAAATTACCGTTTGGAAACCGTTTCTAATCGTTTATAACGGTTTCCTTTCCGTTTCCGTTTGGTTTTCCCAGAATCGCAAACGGAAACGGAACGGTTGGAGCCTTAGCTTCGCCGGTCCGCGCTTATTACACCAAACAACTCATTCTTTTTGGTTCTACTTGTCATTGACGACCGACCAGCCACCTCCCTTCCACACATTGCTCCGAATGTCGGTTCAATGGACGCGCCAAAGCTCATCGCGCACGCCACCATGACCACGTTCGCTCACTTGTTCGGCTACACCATCGCACACGCGACGGAGGACGGCAAGTACGTCTTCAAGAACGCGCCCGACGCGCTGGCGCTCACCCACGGCTGTTTACACGTACACCGAGTCGCTGCGCATTGTCTTCGTGCTCGGAGTCCCCGTCGCGGGCCTCGCCCTGTCCACATTGACAAGACAGTCCCGCCTGCCCCTCCTCCCCGCCTGGTTCCCGCCCCATCAACGCCCTCCCCTCTCCCCTCTCCCCCGCCTTCGGCCCCAACACCCCAAGATGGCCAAGCTCACCCGCACCCTGGGGCAGAACGTCCCCCCCGAGCTCGTCTTCCAGGCGCAATCCCAGTCCCGCTCGCCCTACCGCCGCCTGCGCCGCGCGAGCGCCGACGCCGTTGCCACACACCCCGCGCTCCTCGCGCGGCTCCTCCATACTGCGCGCGCAGGGCTCCACCGCGTCGCTCTCCCCCCCGCGCTCGCCCGCCTTCTACGCCTCGCGCACGCCGTCCCCCGCCCCGTCCAGCAGCCGCGCGCCCTCGCCCGCCTACTACGCCACCGCATTCTCCAGCAGTGCCGAGCGCGTGGGCTCGCGCGCGCCCTCCCCCGCGTTCCCGCACGACGACTACCCCTTCCCCACGCGCGTCACCTACGACGAGCGCGAGGACGAGTGGGTCCGCGTGCCCTCCTTACCGCACTCGCCCACCTCCACCGCCCCGCACCCTTCTACCACCACGCGCAGCACGCGCTCCGAGCGATTTCTCTCCCGCACGTTCGAGTTCGCCGAGGCACCGAGCGGCAATTGGAATAATGGCGGGGGGCGCGGAGGCGTGGGCCCGGGCACGAGCACGACGTACCGGCGCGAGTCGCGCCAGGGGTGGAGCGGCGAGTGGGGTGGCGCGGCACAGGGCCTGGGCATGAACGAGGTCGTCAACCGGCTAAGGGGGCTCACGATGAAGTGAGCGTATTCCTCATTATATTCTATGCACTCCTCTCGGGTACGCTCGCCGCCTTGGCGATCACGACCTCCTTATGAATGGCCGCACGAACGGCCGTGAGCTTTCACGCTGAAGGGGAGTAATGGGTGGGCGGGAGTATGCGACGACTACGGACTTAATGCGTCTGCGGCCGCGGCTTCGTTCGGGATATCGGTGTGGGTACTCTAATACGGGTTTTAATTAATAGCGGGGACGAGGTACCTAATAGTAATAGTGTATGTACATACTGTACATAACTGCCGTCGCTGCAGCGAGTTAACAACAAAATCCAGCGCTGGTAAATCGTGTGTGTCGCAGCCCATGAATGAAAGGAATCGACACAAACAAGAAAAATCGAAATGACACCAAAAAATACACAGATGAAAGCGGTACGACTTATCCCGAGTTCGAACCGAGACCCCCCACATATATGCATCCGTATTCTTTCTGGTATGGCATGGGCGCCCTTCCAACTGCGCTAACAAGCCTTCTATTGAAGTATCGTTTTAGTTTAGCTTTAATGTTATATGTGGTGGCTGGCGGAAAAAAAGATATTCTCCTGATGATCTGTCCCAGAGTCGAACTGGGACAGCCCACATATTGGAGAAATCTATTGCGCCAGTTATTGTGGTCCCACATGATAACCTTCTCATCCAAATAGAGAGCGTTGCCGAATGCGCCAACAGGTCATTCTCACTCGCTAATTCAAGAATATAGAGTCCAAATTTTAGAAAAATGGGCAGAAAAAAATGCCCAGTAAAGCCCGGATGACCCATCCCAGAGTCGAACTGGGGCCTCCCACAGAAAGCCAGACGAGTAAGCAATTGAGAGTGGGTGCGCTGCCGAGTGCGCCAACGGGTCTTTCTGTCATATTAATCGAACCATAATAAATAGTGGAGGGTTCTCAGAGTCGAACTGGGGCATCCCACATACTAATGGATTTTACTAGAAACCACTCACTTATTGGGGGTGCGCTGCCGAGTGCACCAACAGGTCGTTCTACCATATAAAATTGAACCCGAATATTTCAGCGTCAAAACCCGAACTTCACAAGGGGCAACTACAATTGAAGCTATTGGGTTCTGAACTTGAGCGGTGCAGCCTCGTATGTATGAAGCGAACTCGATGTTCGGCAACATCGCTCAACTCCGCCTGGCCAATTAAATAGTTTTCTGCCCAAGACAGCGAATCCAATGGCTTCTTACAGTTGCTCACTTCTTTCCCGCACATATTCCTGCCTCGAGGTCCTTGATTATTTCCTTACAAGCCAATTTCGTCATATTGTATGACACGCCAACCGGTTGATTTAGCTCCGATGAGACAATAGCCCACATCTTTTACCCCATGCTTCCGAAAAATGTCCCGTCAAACTCTATGGCGCCCCTTTGTGCAGTGATACTCGCCGGGTCGCCACTGTTCTCATTGAAAATAAAATATTAATACCGGTTCATAGGGTTGAACCCAATTCAACCTGAAACAACTAAAACACAGAATACACACGATACATATTCTGGCCGTGCAGATAACTGCGGTGTGAAGGTCAATGCAATGACGCCAATGCCCGAGATTTATACTCAATTCTGCATTGTTGTAGTTACAAAAATATCAAACCGTTTATTCAAGTTCGATTTCGCCGTTCAACCGTTTAACCGGACAGTTATAAATTCTAGCTTCACGAGAATTTAGTTCACAGGCATCCGTAGCGGCTATTAGGCCAATTGTCTAATTTTCCGGTTAAACGGAACTCTGACCGTAAACACGTCTAACCAGCATTCACCTCCCATCCATCCATGGAGCAATCACAGCTGTCCTATTGGTATGATAAACCTGGACCATCATGCATGCATGATTATTCCCCAGTTCAAATAAATTCGTCCCTGCAAGAGCCGAGGTTCGCAAACGTATTCCACATCCCGTTTGGTTGCACGCTTGCGGCCGCTGCTAGACTATAATGTCAGCTAAGATAGTTCACTGATATTTCGTGACGGCCACATTAATTGGGAACGGAGGATGGACATAGCACTGCTTCCTATTGAATGAATAATAGGCTTCAAGCCTATTATTCATCCCAAGTTGGTAACGACGTGATTAGTAAGTTGGTGAAAACGCGTAACAATGCTTGCCAATGGCGGTCTTGAGCTATGAGTAATTACATTAATGAATCTTCGATCAAATGAGGACGTTGAACCCGCTTTACATCGAAGTTCAACTTGCGAGCATTTTTATATAAGTAGCGGTTAATCCGCCTCATCTACATCATCGCTCCTCTTCCAGACAACCATGACCATCAAACTATTTGGCTCCCCGTACTCCACCTGCACCAAGCGTGTTGCGACTGTCCTGATCGAAAAGAAGGTCGCATTTACTTTCCAAAGTATAAATATTATGGCTGGCGAACACAAGTCCAAGGAGTTCAGAGCACACCAGCCCTTCGGGCAGGTCCCATACATCGTGAGCCGGCCTTTTTCCCGTTTAATTCCGGCCACTTTCTGAAGGTCCTGAGTAGGATGACGACGGCTTCATTCTGTACGAAAGTCGCGCCATCTGTCGCTACATCGCGGACAAGTATGCCAACCACGGCCCGAAGCTCGTCCCCACCGATCTCAAGGGAAAGGCGCTCTTTGAACAGGCCGCATCTAATGAATACTCGAACTTCGACCCTTTCAGCTCCAGGGCGGTTAGCGAGGCCGTTTTCAAACCGTAGGCCTGTCGCTAGTTCCGAGCCTTTGGTCTGAGTCAATTATAGCATGATGGGTATGGAGACCAACAAGGCCAATCTTGAGGAGAACCTCAAGACACTTCGACGTGTACGAGGCCATTCTCGGGAAACAAAAGTACCTTGCTGGAGACGTGCGTACATTCGCTGTCCCATCGCAGCCCGTCCTTTATAATCCATTTGGATATCCACAGGAAGTGACACTCGTCGACTTGTTCCACCTTCCGTACACCGCCAAAGTGCCCACATGCCGTCACCAGCTGGAGCGGCCATGTAATAGACAGCAATCTGGAAAGCTGGATCTGAGTCTCTCACCAGGTGGTGGCCAGCTAAATCGCTCAGTTTTTCTTCCAGCTGTCAGCCAGCTGGACAAAAGATGGCTGCTATATGATGAAGTATACTGGATCCCAGCTTCGTACAAATTACAACGGAAGTTCTAATCTGAATCCCAACTGTCCGGATCATCGTACAAATCCGCATCGTCCGAACTGTCATCTATGGGCACAGTCTCCTCCGCCATTTCTATGGCTTTCGCAGTCCGGGTGATTTTTCTCTTCCCTCGGCTCCCAACCATGGTTTCTCCCGCTGGAACGGTACTGCTCGCAACCCTCGTTCTCGCGCGTTTTCGGGGGCGGGCACTGTCGTCGCCATTATCCATCGGCGACGCCTTACGTTTCTGTTCTGCTGCTGCTGCTCGTTTGGTGCGCTTGGTGTCGAGTGTCTCCCGCAGATCCGATGCCAGCTCATCATGCTTTACTCGTCGGTCTGGGAAAAGGAGGATCGGAGCAAGGAGATCTCGAGGAAGGGTTGCACGGAGAAGGTGTGCGTTGTGAAACGCATGAGAATTGATAATGTAGCGGTCGAGTGAATTGTGGACAATATAATTCTCGATTTTGTCGGATTCAACACGTTCTTGCATTTGCATACGCACACCGGTCGCTTCACATTTCGCGGAATAGCAATCATGTTGGACATTGAATTTGAATTTGAGATTCTGATTTGGGATGAGTAGTGCAACCGAGCAGCTGTGGAAACGCTACGTACCTTGGCTGGAATTATGGAGTAAGTAATTTCGGAGTCTCGACGGACAAGGACGGGCATTCCGTAAATCTCATCTCGCGATGAGAGGACTTGGAACAACTCAACAACCAGTACTACAATGGAATTGTCGCCCTGTAGAATTTCGGAGATTCGCCCAGATACTGTGATACCCTAAGGAGAATCTGATACTGGAATCTACGATAAATGGGGGAAAAAATCACACACCTTTTCAGTTGCAGACTCGGCAAAAACCCATGAACCGATGAAGCAAGGGTCCAGTGATTCACTGATTACCTCACGGCATTTTGTCCACATCGACACGGCAGAGTACATTCCAAAATTTACGGCGTGAGCAGCACTGGTACTTTGAAGTTCGTGTATGACCATTTGTATTTGACCCCGAGGAGTAGGTACAGGTTTAGTGTTGCCTTGAAAGCAAATTAGAAGTGCACACTGGCAGGCATCACAATTGAACTGCATACCATGCACCAATGTTTTGGGCTCACTCCATCCAAGAAGTTTCTGGAGCACAGGATGCTTTGCCATAAATTGGCACACACCCGGACCAGCCTTTTGCCATTCGTTGTTGTGATACCACCATCCTCCGGTCAGACGGTGCTTTAAACCCTCTTGGTCACCAAGCTGGATGGCAATATCACGACTTGGTGCAAGGTGGTTAGAGAGGATTGAACAAAAGCGAAAGATTGCGTTGAAACATTCGTAAATTTCAGTGATAACACCCAGGAGAGGACCAAATTCGACGGCGTCCTCGTCGATGTGTACTAGGAGATGGTACTTGATTTTTGTGATGATCTTCGAGGGATCTATCATTGAAAATACATCAAGCACATTTGCGACCGTAACTTTGAGATCATGCTGTAAGTAAATTAGGTCAGAGATATGAAACGACGCAGGATGAAGGGAAATACTCGGTATTCAACTAGGTCTCGGATTTCTGGAAACCACAACAGGGCTGCGAGCTCACCAGTGGCTTTCCAAGCCATGAATTGGTAATCTGTGACCAGGCCACGGACGTGGAATACATTTGTTTGTGCAATAGTCTTGAATTGGCGGCCGATTAAAGAACCTGCATATTGCATAATGTAATTCGCACGAATGGCATGGATTGAGAGCCCATCTGTGGCTGTAGATTGGAGTCGGACGGCGTAGGTTTTTTTTTTTTCCGCTGACCACGCGGTATGTGAAACATGCCAAATATACTTCACGATCCCAAGTAAAATGGTGTGCAGTATTTCCACGGGTGTATCCTTCGTTGGATCGAAACCTGGAAAAAGTGTTAATAAAGGAACCACCCGTGAGCAGAATATACACAACCTTTCATAGTCAGGAAGGGGCTGTAAATTCTTTCGTGATTTTCAACCATCCATTGTATAAGTTCGACTTGGATCTCGTCACTGGAGCGATTAGGATTGTCCTTCTTGATATTCTTGAAGCGTGCAATAAGATCATCGATCCAATATTGTGTGTATGCATCCTTTACTCCCGTTTGAGTCTGTGCGTCCTTGACATGCTGCGAAACACCAGAACATGCAAGTTTAACTTGTTTCTGAAGCTCGTCAAGAACTCGTTCCTTAGTGCGAGGTATACTGGGCTGTAGTTTAGATAATAAGTTGTCGTTCCAGAGAGGAGAAAACATAGTTAAATACCTCGAAAAGTAGATGATACCCCTCATTGGCCGCCTTTTCCTTCTGCGTTCCACCAACCTCGCAT